TTCCTCCTACCTTTTTCAACTGTACATGCCCTACACCCTTCCTCCTTGCTTTATTCAACACGTATTGATCGAGACATACTCATTATATATCCTAAAATAAAATACTTGATCTTACGCGTCTGGGTATGAGAATTATTTAGAAGTAAAAAGGGTGTGGCGCACAGAAAACAGAAAACAAGAAGAAGAGATATAGAGAACGATGGAGATAGAGATGTATTGGAAAAGAGAGAGTATATATTGAGATGCTATATAAGATCAAATATTTTGAGACAAAGGAAGTACTCCGTATCCATGGACCATGACAGTACACAGGAGGGGAGTACAAGGAGCAGCTTATACAGAGAGATTAAATTAAAAAAATCAAGACGGTTTTTTTTATAACGAAACCAATTAAGACGATTGAATTTTGAGCAAGTACAGTGCAAGCAAGCTCTCTCGATCGTGGCAGACAAGGCGGGCCCACGGGCAGCGACGCAGCAGCTGATCCTGTCCACACTGACAGTGGACAGTCAGGAAGACGGGCTAAACCCCGCTCGCGAAAAAAAAAGACAGCCAGGAAGACATCACACATGGACGATCCGTTCCCGATCCGATTACTGAAAGCAGCAGCAGGCAAAGGATGATGATGAACAGTGATGGGGATGGATGGATGGCGCCATTGGAGAAGCAGGCAGACAAGCGCACCTGCCCTGCTCGGCAGGCACAGGCACACACCATCGGTACTCAGCCTGTTCGCTTGCTCGTAAACGATCGTAAATTTTCAGTTGAAAAAGTGTTTTTCTCTCACACCAAACCAGCCAGCAGTAAATAATCCACGATACGATACGGCCTCCCGAACAGGCCGACTGCCGCTGAGAGTGAGTGCGAGCTAAGCTATCCCTACGACCCACCCAGCTACCCTAAACCCCCTGCCAATCATGCCATGCGCGCGTACGTCCACGTAGGTTACGCGGAGAACACTACTGTGTTCTACACTTCTACTAGTACGACCCAGACGATGATGGTGTTATCCGGTCGATCCTCACAAATTGTTTCGCTACTACGACTCAGCACAGCGCCCGCGATCGGCGATAGAGACGGCCATCCCCGACCAACAGACGCCCTTCTCGGCTTCTCGTCAAAAAAAAAGAGACAATTCTAACGCAATAGCAAGTCAAAACATATCGAATTCAATCAAGTGTATATAGAAAAATAGTAATATTTATAATATTACTAAATAATTATAGTTAGAGCTTTTGTTGAATATATTTTGATACGGATTCCTATTTAGTGTTATAAGTATTTAGTTAAATTTTAGATGATTTGACTAAGGAGAAAGAGAGATAATTCAATTCTTTTTAGGATGGAGGCAGTTATCAAATTGTGTATGTGGTGTAATGTATCTCATAAGTTTTTAAGGGATATATACTTGTCATGTCATTTTTTGTTTACTAGGTTTTGTTTAGTGTAGCCAACAAGAATTTTTACGATTCGACGAGCACCACAGTTTCACCGCAGTTGTTGTATGGTGGCTCAAAACCTATTTGTAATAGAACTCAATAGATGTGTACTATTAGGACTTCTAGTTCTAATAGGATGTAAGTGTACGTAGAATCCTACTAGGGGTAGAGGACGTAGGCATCTACCAAGCCAACACAAGGGTCTCATCCAAGACTTGTAAGAATCAATTAGGAGCGTTCAAAAGGATTAGGCTAGATGGTTCTATTGCACTAGATTCTTGTAAGGGCAAGAATCAGTGGGTCCTAGAGGGTCAAGTAGGGTTATGAGAGCTACACAATCACTTGTAATCTTTTGAAGTTGTGCTTATAGAATTTGCAGTCGTCAACTTTGCCAAAATCCTAATCTCTTGTCTTGGTTGCTTCAACGTCGTTATCTAGGATTTTCTATGCTTTTCAACTACATCGTTCTTGATACGGCACAAGCTTGTGTCATACTTGCAATATCCTTTGAAAGATCCGAGGACTGTTGTGCATAACTAGCTTGGGGTATCAGATTATAACAGTAGTGACTCCAAGATTACGAATGAACGAATACATATACAATAAACACACACACATACATACTCCTCTTATGTGTTGAGGGATATTGTCATCTAGGTTTATGAACTTTGGAAGTACCTCTCATACCTAAAGGTGGTGATGAACATGTCTCGATCAACTGAGATGAGAGGTGAAGATGAGGGCACAGAGTTCTTAGAACCAGTGCACCACTATTGAGTGTGGTAGGACCGTAGGAATGGTGGAAAAAGCGTCTGAAAGCTCAAAGCTAGCTCCATGTTTAGGATGTAGATGCTCTGCTATTATGCATCTGGTTTGCATTTGGCAAAGGGCACTCTAGATCCTAACTTACAAACTCGTAGCCTTATAACCCGCCTCCTCTAGCCTCGATAGAGATGTCATACATAGATAAAGGCTATGTTCGGCTGCCATTATAAGCTAGTTTATGGTACAATATTTTTCTCTCCCAACAAATTAGCTGTACAAATCAGCACAAGCGGCTTATAGACCAGCTGAACAGAGCCAAAGAAGGAATGAGTGAAAAGAAGCACCACCCAATGGAGAGAGAGCACGAACATTCTATTATAGTTTAGGATTCACCTATATACTAAACTATTTATGTAATAACATGCTAACTATGGCCCCGTTCGTGTGCCTTTAAACCTGGCTTGATCCGCTTCTTTTTTCATCCGTAACCGTGTTTTTCTCTCACAAATTCCTCTAGCATTCCTCCAAACCATCCAAATTTTTCCAGAATTCCTCCAAACGAACATGCCCTATATGATGACTCTATCGCTAACGTGTGAGGTAGATGTGTCAGTCTCATTATCTCTTTTAGGCCTAGTTTAGATTGCAAGTTTTTTTCACTCTCTTTCCATTATATCAAATCTTTGATACATGTATGGAGTATTAAATGTAGATAAAAAAAATAACTAATTACACAGTTTGATTGTAAATTACGAGACGAATCTTTTGAGCCTAGTTAGGCCATGATTGGACAATAATTGTCAAATACAAACGAAAGTGCTACAGTGTCAAATACTGATTCCTAACCCCAATCTAAACAAGGCTAAGTTTTTTCGCTCTCTCTCCATCACATCAAATCTTTAAACACATGCATGGAGTATTAAATGTAGATAAAAAATAACTAATTACACAGTTTGATTGTAAATTACGAGACGAATCTTTTGATCCTAATTAGTCTATAATTAAACAATAATTATCAAATATAAACGAAAATGCTACAATATTAAATACTGATGAAGTCTCCCGTCGGCACAACTAAGGTACTATGCCTGTACCAGTGGTGATGGGCTCATTATCGTCGCTCGTTCCAGATCCGCCGGAGGCTAGAGAGAGAAGGGCAGGAGGAGGCTAGAGAGAGATGGTGTCGAACAACCGGCACAAAATATGAGAGCCACATCGTTGTACGATTAGTGTACCACACAAGCGGTTTAGCACAAGTTCCGAAGACTTTAGACCCAAGGGTGTTTGGCTCTCTAGGCTAAAATTTATATCACATCAAATGTTTAGAGGCTAATAAAAACATTAAATATAAATTAATTATAAAATCAATTACATAGATGGAGGCTAATTTATGAGACGAATTTTTTAAGCCTAATTAATCTATCATTAGCACATGTTTACTGTAGCACCACATTGTCAAATCATGGACTAATTAGGCTTAAAAGATTCGTCTCGCAAATTAGTCGCAAGTTATACAATTAGTTTTGTAATTAGTCTATATTTAATACTCCATACATGTGTCCAAACATTCGATGTGACAGGAATTTTAGGAGCAGGGGAAGAAACCAAACAAGCCCCTAATATGATACAATCAGTATGTTTAGGGTGATAAAAATACATTTTGAGAATACCGGAACCTAAATAAAAATGCTGGACAAGTTTGAAGACCGCTAACAAAATGTACTGATTGACCCCACATATCGAGGCATGTCATCATACAATTACCGTGCCACGCGAGCGGTTTAAGAGCAAGGCTAATGTCTGAGCTTGTTCGCTTCTACGAATTTTAGAAGAATCTGGATGGTTTGGAAGAATCTTTGCGAGAATTTGTGAAAAAAACAACATTAGGATGAAAAATAAACGGATTAAGTCGGGTTTAAGGGCACGCGAATAGGGTCTTGCATGTAAGGTTTCTTGGTAGCCTTCTCTTAGCCCGTTTATATAGTAGTTAACTCTTTGCTATTAATACATAATGCACTTGTCTCTCTCGTAAAGTTTCTTGGTTCCCGCGCCTGAGATGGATGTAAACTTACAACCTGTTTTTTTTCTCTCCTTCACCTCAGCATTTAGCTGGCTTACTGCCAGCTATTATGCTTGCTCTAATGCAAATGCTAGATTTGATGTAATATAATCATTAACTTTAGGCGTTTGGAGTGTAATTTCATAGTAAGACTTAAGATGGAAATGCGTGTACGTGACAAGTTGAAGGACACAGCTATAGATATGGCCATGTTTATAACAAAAACAAATATAATATGTCCTGTTTTATACTATCATATATAGGCTCTGTTCGGCTCGTTAAATCTTAACTAAAACTAACTAAAAAACACCGTTCTTGCTGAATTATTGTGAGAGAAAAATACTGTTCTACCTAAAAAAAATAAGCCAAACGGAGCCTTTGTACTATATTGTATGCACTGCCGACGTGGTGTATGTACAAAGATAATTGTACATACACCTTCACTGCTAGTAGATCTCTGTCACCGTCCTGCGCCTCCCATCACTTTAATGAGCTGTTTGCTCGCTGCTTGTTTGTTTCCTCCGCCTACGTCTGCCCTCCCCTTCACCTTCACTGCTGCCTGCTCTGCTCGTCTCCTTCCCTGCTTCCTTTTTTAAAGCCCCGCCAGGCCGCCATACTCGGTGCAGTCAGACGCCACCATCATCTCCTTCCTCCATCCAAAACCAACTGATAGTACTGTGCAGTGCAGCCAAGAAGCTCAGCTCAGCTGGTTCCTCCATTGGACTGTCCCGATTCTGATGGGCTTCCCGGTGGGGTACTCGGAGATGCCCAAGCTGGTGCTGCACCTCCTCTTCCTCCTCGGCCACCTGCGTCGCCTCTCCACCTGGCTGCTACGCCTCGCGGGCGCCGCCGACGCCGACACCGATGCCAGCTGGGCGGCGGCATCCGACGCCGACCACCACCCGCGCCACCCCTGCGCCGCCGCCACCGCCGAGCGCCTGGAGGAGCACTCCCCGGCGGTGCGCTTCGACTCGCTGTCGTGCGGCAGCTCCTCCTCTTCCTCTTCCTCCGGGGGCAGCGAAAGCGGAGGGGAGACGGCGCCGCGGCCGCTCCCCGAGGGGTGCTGCGTCTGCCTGGGCGACTTCCACGCCGCCGCCGAGGTGCGCCGCGCCCGGGGCTGCCGCCACGTCTTCCACCGCGCCTGCCTCGACCGCTGGGCCGCGCACGGCCACCGCACCTGCCCACTCTGCCGGACGCCGCTCCTCCCGCCGCTGCTCCTGCCGCTGCCCCTGCCGCTGCCGCCATCGTAGTGATCCGAATTACCCCGTTCCTGCTGGGCCTTTGTGCAAAAAATAACCCTCCACCTTCTTCACTCGACCGGCTTGACCAGACCAGGTGGGTGCGTCTCTCTGGTTTGTTGTGATTTTGAGCAACTACAGGGGGCTCCGTGTCAAAGGGGTGCTCTGTTCTCCTCTGCTCTTGGAAAAGGCTAAACAAAGCCAAAGAAAGTGAGGAAAGACGGTGATAGAGAAGTTTAGCTAGGTTATTAGAGCAAAGTTAAATAGAAAGAGTAGTACTTATTATTATATATACACGTAGGTAGAGCAATTTGGCAAGAGATGTGGTCTGCTCATTTTATTTTCTTCTTTTTAATTTTTTTTTTGTTTTCTCTCCTCCGTGGGTGGGCGGAGATGATACATATACATACCCTGATTCTGATTTCACTGTTTTGTGGGTCAGATCTTTACTGTTGGAGTGGATGGAGATAGCCAATAGGGATCTTACCTTACCTGGATGAATTTGTATGTCGTGTAATAACTATGCAGCTTCAAACAACCTGGGTTTGACTTGGAGATCCACTGCAAAACCATTTATGTTATCTTTGTGAAGACGCATCGTTTGCAGAAAAGAAAGAAAAAAAAAGGCACTGTATTTTTCTTCTTGATAAAATGAAGTATCTGCAGAGTAAAACCTGGTACATGCCTTGCCATACCTGGTTTCAGAGTTTTTTTTCCTTGATGAAAAGAAGTAGTATATGTTTTTAGAAAAAATAATAATTCTGACATCTACAAACAAACATACGCAGACATAAAAAACAAATATTTCTGCGTAGCTGTATAGAATGCTCGCAGAGCGTAAAAAAGAAGTATACACTCTCATTATTCTAAAAACAGAAGTTCTTGATTCTCAATGAGCTAAATAATTCTAAATTTTACTAGATCTATATAACAAAGTACTAACATTTACGAATACCGAAAAAGTATCATTTGCTTAATTATTGAATATTTATAACAAATTTATTAAAACATAAGTGTTGATAGTATTTTCGATAAACTTAATTAAATTTAAAAGAATTTGATTTGATTATTAAAATATAAAACTGCATTCTTAGGATGAATGAAATACAGACTAAAAAAGGCTGCTGCCCAGTCGCAAGACACAGGGTGATAAGGCCCGTCCGTATTGTGGAGCTACTCTACGCCAAGCCAAACGGGCTCAACTTCTGTCGACGCATTCGGACTTACATGGGCCAATGGGAAAACTACATGGGCCAATGGGAAAACTGCTGAGGTGCCACCGTCGTTCCCCGCCAAAAGATGCCAGTGACGACGTCGTGGCCGCCGCGATGCACGACCTCAGCAAAGAGTTGCGACGATGAAAGCGCATGTTAGAAGTGTATGTTTTAAGTATTTTAGAGATATGTTACAATTATTTTATAGGGTTATTGAAAAGGTAGATCGAGGATGTTACACATGTTGCAAGTGTTTTAAGGCATGTTGCAAGTGTTTCAGAGGTGTTGTTCAAAATATTTCATCTGTTCCAAACGTATGTTTCAAGCGTTCCGATCTAGATGCTGCATATGTTTCACACATCAAGTTTCTCTCACATGTTTCAGTCTTATGTCGCAGTAAGTGTTTTCATATCGCAAGTTGCAAGTGTTTTATTTGATGTTGCATATGTTTCACACATATGTTGCAAGTGTATGTTCTAGTTGTTTCATCTGTTTCATATTGATGTTGCATTCAAGTGTTTCATGTTGCACGTGTTTCGTGTTGTTCGGGGAGTCAAGGGGTGTGGGGAGCGATAGTGGTACGGCACGGACGTTGGGTAATGATGGGGCACGGCGAGCTGGGGGCCGCCTATGTAGCATCCGGTTTTAATAACAAAACCAGAGACGCACCATATGTGAGCCTAGAAAGTCAAATATCACATATAGCTATAAATAAGGGTAATATCAAAAGACAATGCGCAATATATAACATACTTAGTATAAAAGGATATAACCTTAGACAGCAAACAACGGAAAGACAACTCCGATCTTCAGGTGAAGACTCCAATCCACAGGGACAACTGACTGGTTGATCACAAGCCTAACTCCTCTAGACTAGCAATCCGGTACCCATCCGGGATTTTTCCAAAGATTTAAAAAGTAAAGTAAACATAAGTACATGTCGTACTCAACAAATATAACATGGGGTTCATAAGGCTCAAAAGGCTGACACTGGTTAACTACGATTAACTTTTAATGAGTCATGATTTTAGCAATAGGGTGGCAACAAGTTTATTCACAAGCCCATATAAACACATGACCAGGTAAACATGAATAATAAATAGCATAAACAGTAATAATTAGTGAGCATCTTCATCATCAGTATCATCAGTGTTCATCATCTATTCTGTAAGGGTTCTAAGGCCGCTCGAGACCGTGAGCACGGCTGTTATAATAGTTTTACACTCTGCAGAGGTTGTACACTTTCACTATAAGTCGTGATTTACCCTTTCGCCCGAGGTAGCTAATATCTTGACCCACTTCCAAGGAAGGTCAGTAGGGTTCACTATGAAGCCTTTCAAAGGTTCGTCTAACAAGTTAGGGCCATTATATTTTCTCGGCAAACAGATGTAGTAACCCCTCTTTCCGATGGTACAATGACACGCAACCTATATACAAAGGGATAGAGGTTGTCCTATACTCGATTCGTTAAGCCATTTTTACGCCAATAAAGATAATCACTAACAAGCTAGAAAAATGTTCTCATACTGAGCTAAAGCCAGAGTCATGTGGCCCTCACAGCTGTACTGTAAGTCCCAGATGATCACTTACAGATAAGTCCTTAGGAAGAGGAATCTAGAGCACCATAAAAACAGCCCAATGCTCTAGCCCTCTGGTTCCATGTTGCTAAAAAACATCTTTTAGTGTTTGTTGCATATACCATTAGTCAAGTTACAAGATCATGGTCTTTAATTGAGCACTAGCGTCATACTACCCAATGCAATACCCCATAGGTATCAAGGTACAAGGTAACAAAGTACTAGGAAATCCTTAGTGGTAATCAAGGTAGACACATGCATATGATTAAATTATTAAAGTGAATATGATAACAAGGAAGATCCCATGCTATACTTACCTTAAACTCAGATCCTTCTTCTAGTCCAAACCTTCAAAAGAACTCCTTCTTGATCAACACGTAAAGCTTACCGACTGGACATGATCATAAAGCACCACATAAGCATCCAATCAATCATACACGAAGCAAACAATAGAACTAAATTAGAACAGTACACCAAATATATGAAATATCAAGTAAAAAGGTTTTAAAATGTTCTACACGTTACTACGATCACACATACGCAAAAAACATACTAATCGGAGCTACGGTGAAAAAGATACATCTACCGATAGATTTGCTTTGAAAAGAAATTATAGGCTTTATTTATTTTAGCTATATAAAACATGTATAAGATACTTCAGAAAAATACTTCAATTGAGTTAAGTCAAATTATACTTGATTTAGAAAAACAAGGTAAAACTAATCATATAATTGATCAAGGTGAAAAGCCTAAGTTACTTTTAATAAGAAAAATCCAATTGCATAATCATTATTCAAGTTAGGCGTTAAACCATAAAATTATAGAGCTCTTGACATGGAAAACATTGATACTAATGCGTAGATTATGTCGTTACGAATCTAACACAACTTGAACGGGTCAAATCGGAGTTAAAACGGAGAAGATATGGCCTAATGAAGATAGTGGCAATTTTGTAAATAGATGAAACTTGATTTTCGAATTTAAAATAAATAAAATTGAATTTTGGATCTACAGGAGGACTGCGGATACTATTTTATCAAAAGACAAGGGCTCTTTAGAAAAACTGCAGGGACGACGGGTTCTATATTAAAAATCCGAGGGGGTTCTTTTGCAAAACTGTCGGCCAAAGGGGTACGGTGAGATCTAAGCCGTTAGATCTAAGATGGACGGCTCAGATTAGAATCGGGGGGAGAGAGAGGAGAGGTCGGTGCCGGAAACAGAGCCGAGCACGGCGGTGGCCATGGCCGGCGGCGAGGAACTCGTCGGCGAAGCTTGAAATCGGCCCTAGAGACTACGAGAGAGCAAACCGGAAACACGAGGAGAAAGTGGACGGCGAGGCGAACTCACCTCGGTCAATCTAGGCGGTGTGGAGTGGACGGCGATGGCGCGGTGTGCGGCGGAGCGGCGGCTAGGGTTCGGCTCGGCGGCTACGAGCTCGGGATGAAGCGAGGCAGCTTCGACGACTTGATGGGAGGCGGCACGGTGCGGGGCTGCTATTTATGGCATGGAAGCAACGTGGGGCGCAAGGCAAGGCGGACGAGGCGGGGCAGCGTCGGACTCCTACGCGGCGGTGGTGTAGAGTGCGGCGTGGACGGGAGAGAAAGACGACGCGAGGAAGGAGATGATGGCGCTGACAGAGCGGGCCCACCTGTCGGCGACTCAAGGCGTGGGAGAGAGGGGCGGGGATGCGGCCTGCACGGCGCGGGCCTTCGGCTGGCTCGCCGGGCCGGCCCACGAGCGAAGGCATGGGGAAAGAAGGGGCGCGGGTGACGCGGTGCTGAGCCGCCTGCTGGAATGGGCAGCGGGAGAGGGAAAAGAGAGAAGCAGGCCGCGAGGTGAGGGAGCAGGCTGGCTGGGCCAGAAGCCGAGAAAGGAGAGGGAAAGAAAAAGAAATTCCTTTTTAATTTCTTAAACATATTTTTAAACCAAATTCAATTCAAATTTAAATTCTTTTAAAATTTTGATCATACCCAAGCGTCACAAAAATAAATATGCATCAGCATGAATGAACCAACATGTTGCTACCTTATGATAAATTTTAATTTAATAAAAAATTATTATTTTCTATGTTTTTATGAGTACAAAAAGACAAAATTAAATTATTTTTTATCTATTTTAAAAGGAGCAAATTTTAGGGTGTTACAGCCGGCCGGAGGCGCCACGGGGGTGGGTGCGTGTGCAGGACGGGGCGAACAGTCTCAAATCGAGGTGGATAGGGCGT